TAAAGTGCATTAGAGACAAAGCCTTCTTCACTTCCAATATGGCATATAATGAGCTGTTTTTATGCACATACCTAATGGGTTTTTAAAACCAGTTAAAAGTTCATCCAAAAAGGCTTGTCTGGATGAAAAAACCGACATATCGAAACATATTTTTGATTTGGTGTGGCCTGCGTTAATCCAAGTATCATCAAGATAATATATTTTTTGCTTTTCTTCTCTGTACTGTTTTATTTTTTGTGGCGTAGGACGAAACAATTTAATTTTTGTCTAAAAGCAAACTATTTTTTCCTTGAGTTTTAAATTTAAAATTAAGGGTTTTGAAAAGCTTGTAAAATATAGCTCGCTTAAAAGTAGACAAATATGGATCATCGTTGACATTGTTGGAAGTTAATTTCTAAAGAAGAATTGATGTACTTTGCGCCTTATTGCATTTTTATCAAAATCATCCACAGAGCCACTAATTTATTTATAACGTAGCTTTCTTCTTGGTTCAGAAAATTTATGAAACTGCCTATACTCCTTCATAACATTAAAAACGGTTTTAGCGCACATCCCTGTTTTATCAACAACTCTCCTTTCAACATTATGTACCAACATATCAGGGTTCTATAAAATGTAATGCTTATAAATAATAAGAACCATTTCTTTAGTACGGATGACCAAATGTCCCTTTTTCAGTCGCTTTTTAGAAGGAGTAACAACATTTTTCTGGACTTTATCTGCTATATCTGTGGAGGACATAGTGTCACGCAGCAATTACAAAATATAGTCAATTAAATGTCCATAAAATAGAGTAAAACATGTTCAAACTAACAACAACCACAAAAACAAAATAACACAATATCTAAACTATAATATAATGAATTATAATCAATCAAACATACAAAATGTCCAAACTAACCAACACGGTGAATGCTACCAAAACGACGTTTATAATTATCCAAATTGAACTGAATTCGACTCTGACAAAAAATATTTGCGAGACGTCTAAATGACAAACGACCGATTAACCAATAGAAGCGCAAAAAAATGTCACGTGAGCTGTTGCTGGATGGGAGAAATTGTTTTGACGCGGCGTAAATGAAATCTGAATAGACTTTAGTGATTTTAGTCGTTAGCAAGAATGGTCACTGGTAGACAATAGGTTTGTTCCAACACGCGCGAAAACATTATCGTAAAAATCGTGCGCTCTACCCAAAAATTGATTAGTTGTTAAGAGATTAAAACTTCAAATATGTAACAAAATATAGCCTATAATTTTAAGAAAGCACTTCTATTTAGATATATTTTGGAAACAATTACACTCTGTTGAAAGTTAAATAAGAATAATAATAATCATCATCGAAATTTCACACTGCACCGTAGTCTAATAATCAAAATTATGTACTTTATATATCGATGTCTATTTATAATCACAGATCACTTACTTTATTCTAATATCTCCAATACTGTGGTCAGTTCTTGTGGACGACTTACTCAAAACATTGTCCTAGTGCCTAGGATACGCAGACGACCTAGCAATTATCGTCAGGGACCGATTTGCAGGCACATTCTCGGAGCGATCTCTAAACATAGTGAACAACTAGTGCAAAAAGGAACAACTGTCCATTACCGCACAAAAAACAACTTGTACCATTCACAAATAAACGGGTACTTACAGGACTAAGACCACTAGTACTAAACAACATAATTATCCCAAATAACTCGGAGCAGAGCTGTGATAAGTATTTAGCAAATGTACTTCAAGTAACCAGTATTAAGTAATTTAAATTCCAAATCTACTTACAATATTGAGTATAAGTATTTTACGAAAGTACTTGAAATATTAAGTATTTTACTTAAAACAAATAATTCAAGTATAGGTAGCAAGTACATACCTCAAAAATACTTAAAGTAAATTCAATATACTGAAGTAATTCTAAGTACTGAAAATATGTTAAAAATACTTAAAGTACTTTTAAAGATTCAGTATTTTCAAATACTAATTACTTAAGTCATGTTTTAAGTATATATTAAATTAGTTGAGTTGTCAACTTAAAACTCAACATATATAGCTTTGTATAAATTAATAAAGTACACTACTATTTCGTTTAGACATGACCAATAAAAATGGCCATCCAATATGTTTGTATGTGTATAACATACAATATACCATGTATACTTGGTTAATTAAAATAATTAAAATCTTGAATTTTACTCGGCGTTTTTGTTACATTGTTTGTTAGATGATGACATGATGAAATAAATTATATATATAACTTCATAAAACTTTCCATCTAAAAGAGGGTTGCTTTGTATTTTTTCTGTAAGCAAATTATCTTGACCATCGCTAAACTGCTCTGGTTTTTGACTTGGTTCAATTTGTAAAATTTGACTTATGGTTTTATTCCTTACTCCAAAATAATCTGGCAACAACTTTTTTTGGGTGACTTGGGGGTCTAACTTGGGTCATCGTCGTCTGATGTTTGGAACGGGTCCTTTGGCGAAGCCGAAGTCGTCTCAAATAAACCATGCTCAACTTTCATGATTTCTATAAGTTGTAGATATTAAATATATACAATAATTAAAGGTACCATACCATAATGCGGTTTACCCTCGAAGTAAACCGATTAAGATTCTTGTTTTTATAGAAAAAAATCATAGAATTCTGCAAAAAATATATTTTTCCTACTTGCGTGCGGAAAAACGTTTTTTACGTACGTAACTGTGTGCTGGAAGTTGAATTTTCCGCACGCTGTGTGGAAATAGTAGTTTGTGCAACAAGAGTGGATATGATAGTGCTCAATCGTCTGAGTGAGATATGGGCAATCCACTCGAGTTGTACAGAATATTTTTTCTACCACCCACTAACGAAAATATGAACTGTGATTGGTGGATTTCATTTTTTTTCAGTATTCTCACTACCTAAATGGATATGAAATATATTCGTTCAGCCTGAACACAGCTCACCCACTCTGTCAAAAGGAGACCGATGTGCAAATAAAACGCGTACGACATGCGCACTACAAATGATTAGTGTTGTCCCAGATACGCGAGTATTACGAGTAGTAGTAGTATTATTAGTACCAGCAGGGTTATTCTACTAAATTTATAGCCCGGCTACAAGTTTATAGCCCGGCTACAAGTTGGATTTTGAAGTAGGAATATATAAAGTTCAAGCCAAAATCCAACTTGTAGCCGGGCTATAAATTTAGTAGAATAACCCTGCAGGTATCGGTAAACTACAAGTCCGGCATCGGCACACGTTAGACGTCGTGTGTCGCAAAGATTTGATTTGATTTCCCAGGGCCCGGACACAAATGGGGGCCGGCAGCTGGTTTTTTTGTCTTGTATGAGAACGACGACATAGCCAAGCAGCTCTAAAGGCAATTCTCTCACCAGAAATCAAATCACGACCAGTGAAAGACCATCTAGAAGACCTGGCAGAGCTAAGTAGTCAAAACAAGGTGACCCTAGCATGGGTGATAGGTTATGAGGGATATCAGGGTAACGAAAAGGCTGACGAATTAGCCCGAGAAGGCTCAGATAAGGCTATGAGAGGCCCCGAAACCTTCTGTGGAATTGCTAAGGCATTGTGCAAGGCATCCATTAAACAATGGATTCAAAAAGCATCTCAGGAATGGTGGAACAACTATCCAAGACTGAGACAGGCCAAACAGTTCAATTAGGAACCATCGGCCAAGTTCACGAAAGACCTACTGGATCAAAAGCGTCGAATCGTTAAGATAACAGTAGGTCTTCTTATTGGACACTGTTGCCTCAAAAGGCACATAAGTGACATCAATCCAGCAGAAGAAGCAACTTTGTGCAGGTTCTGTGAAGAAGAAGAAGAGGATACATAATTTCACGTCCTGTGCCATTGTGAAGGCCTGGCTGGAATGAGGTTTCTAACATTGGGCGAAGAAAAGCCAAATGCTTGCAACTACATGCGGGGAGCCACTGTCAAAGCTACTAAGTCTAATAAAAAAGACCAGGCTAGACGACATACTCTAAAACAAACGGAATCCCACAATAGATCTGAAAAGGTCGCAGTGGACAAGGACAAATAACGTCCAACTCCTAATCTAATCTAATACCTCGTATCTGCAAAAAATTAAAATTTTTCCTATTCGCGTCATTTGGGAATTATTGGCGCGAGAAATTTGACAGTACTAATAACCCGTATTGCAATCATATTTTGCTATTATGAACTAAAAAAAGCTTCTTCTATAAAATATCAATCCATACAGTTACAGGTTATTAAAATTAGACCATCGATATTAGGATTAGGTACTTAGGTCACTTAAGGTACAATTTGGGAAAGCGAGACCGATGCAAACAATAGCGACAGGCAGCAAGGCAGCAAACACTACCACGTTAAAAGTGCTGTCGCGTTTCTTGTATCGATCGCGTTGTCCTAAATGTGTTTCATTTATTTACATGTCATTCAGATGCAAACACACATTTCGGTCGCCTTACGCGGTCGCTTGTCTCCTGTCTCCTGTTTCGGTCTCGCATTCCCAAATGGTACCTTTAAGGAGCTTAAGAATAAATTGAGTTTATACTGATTAACTTGTAACTATACCTATGTTTTAGGCAAGATATTTCTGTAACTACTTAAGCGGTTCAATGTTGCTTCCATCTACAGAAGAAATGCGAAAACATACGGAAACTGAAATGGAGAATAGATGGGCTAAAGGTTTGACCAAAAGACAAGCTCATATGATGGGAGAGTACCAGGAAAACTATTATAATGATCTGGCAAAAGATGCTGACACTGACCCTATTTTACCTGTGTATATTAAATTAAGAAATTTCAGTGTTGACAATTTATATAGCGATTTAATTAATTTTAGAGAAAACAAGTACAAAATTGTGGACCAAGAAAATTTTGTAAAAGTAAATTAGATAATGATAAAGTCTATTAAATTTAATATTATAGATGAATCCTTCCTAATTACAATTGTGGTGATATGTCTTCTACTCTACACCTAGAACGATATGGACAAACTAGGTGCCAGGTTTTTATAACTAATTTTAGTTGTTTGTCATTGGATAAAATAAACGTTTTTTTTTTACTTTGGAAGTTTTTTCATTTAACTCAGATAACACACATAATCCAATGGTACATGGGCGAAGTTAAGGGGGGGCTTGGGGGGGCTAAGCCCCCCCAAAAACCAAATTAGCCCCCCCCCAAAAATAATTCGAACATTTATCGCACATCCACCCAATGATTTCAGATTTCAGAACAGAAATTAAAAAATAAAAAGAATCGTGCCATTTGATTAATTCTGCAATTTTACATTTAGTTCAGGAGGCAGTGAATTTCTTTCGTATTCATTTTTCCAGTCGGTGTATATGAAAAATAAACTGTTCTCTTAGTGACAAAAAACAAAATTTTTGAGTCTGACACTTATTTTCCCAGTCATAACTATTTTACATTTACTAAACTAGAACATAAAGCTTATAAAAATAGCAGTTTGGATTATCTCAGATAGTGGAAAGTGAGTGTGGTAGAAAATTGAGCATATAAATTGATACAATCATGAACTGTTTATAATAATAAGTCTGGCTGATTTACGAAATTGGCTAATGAGTCTGGTAATATCTTCTAAATGGAAAAAATATAATATTTTTGCCTTTATTTTCCCGGGTTTGAAAATTTGTCACGTGATAGATTAAATTATAATTTTACACCTCCATTTTATAGCCAATCAACTGCTGTTATTTTAAAACACTTTCATGACAACCAGAAAAATTTCCGGAAATTTTTCTTTTGGTGGGTACCCTGAACGAAATTATACTGAAAATGTTTTTGACAGTTGAGCAGCTCTTTCATGCATATAAAAAATTTGCCATTTCACTGGTTAATATTTTATTTAATACCAATTATAACTAGGTAGAAATACACTACATTTATTTTATGTAAATTAATAATTAGGTTTTTCGCGTCAACTAAACGACTTCAAATATGACAAATGGTCATGGTATGGCCACAGCATATAAAACATATGTTTTATATTCTGTGGTATGGCTACCTTTGAAAATTTGATTTTAGTCGTTTTAATGCATGTCTGTCAAGTTTTGAAATTTGGATATTTTGGTGTAAAACTTTCTTACCCAATACCAAACGTGCCTAAATTATTATCTGTAAATTTTTGCACACTCACGCATATTTTAAGAATATTATCCATCTATTTAAGATAAATTTCAAAATATTCGTAAGTTAAAATACACGTCTGGCTGATAATTACAATTACGGAGGCCTGCCAGACTCACAAGTAGTGTCCGACCGAAGGTTCGGTTACGGTTTCGGCCAACTTTGGCTTTAAATAATAGTTTCGACTACAGTTTCGGTTTCGGCGGAAAACTGGCCGAAACTGCAGCCGACAGCGAAACTACTTTTAAAAGTTTTCGTATCACAATTGGTTGTGTCCGGCACAATGGCGACTGTGCCGGGTGCCATTCCTACACAGTGCACGTACACACAAACTTCTCTGCTTTGTTTCAAGTGAACATGTCAATAAATTTATTAATATATATAAATATATAAATAAACAGGTAATAAGTAAATGTAGCTAAAATTTATAATACGAGTTAATTAGTCTAAAACAAGGATTACAATGAGATATTGCAAATTTCAATAAGAGATTGCCTTAAAAGAAAGTTCTTGTTTCTGTTTCGGCCGAAACTAAGAAAGGAGCCGAAATTTGGTTTCTGTTTCGGTTATAAAACCGTATTTCGGTCGGACCTGACAAGCCAGGTAGTTAAACGAGGAGAGGAATAGTAATCGAACGTGCCGAATTTAGCGCGCCTGACGGTCATTAGACGAGTCTGGCAAGGCTTTCGGGGTGTTCCACATTAGCCAGATTGTATTTTAAGCTGTTATCATAATATACATTTTTCTAGTAGTGAGAACACTTGTAACAGGGATCCTTACTGGACATTGCCAACTAAAATGACACCTTAGTAAACTGAGAGTAGTAGAAGATAGTGAAGATTTTGTGAGGAGGAGGAAAAAATCTTCATTCACATTCTAACTAAATGTGTAGCACTTCAGAATCCAAGGGCACTATACCTAGGAGCATATCAAATAGAAGAGGGAGATTTACCTAGCTTGAAGCCACTCCAAATCCTAGACTTCCTTGAGAAGATATAATTGGAATGATCTTTATTCGCGATTCAAGCTAAGTAATACGCCCTCTGGAGGAAATTTGTAGAAGGTCCCTATAAGTAGGATATCCTTCAGTGTTGCCAGAAGTAGCAAAATTTCGCTACGTCGTCGGATTTTAGCTCTTGAAGAAGTGGATAAGACCTTTTATTTAAGAATCAAAATTTGTGTATAGTAATATGTAATCATACTCTATATTTATTTAAGGACTTTTTTATAAAACCGATATATTATATTAATTTTTTTTTAAATTTCAGTTCATTTATTAATTTTGTTTTAAAATCAGTTCATCATTTGGCAACGAGTTCATTGTTTACATTTTAATTTGTATCAATTACAATTCGAGTTTTTCTTACTTTTTAGCTTTAAATTTGTTTATTTCTTATAGTATGTGATAGTGTTTATGTTAAAAATGAAATCTGCGAAAAAGTCCCCAGCAAATTGCAATCTATATGGTGTTAATGTCAAAATCAAAACTGAAGTATTCATTATTTTCAAAGTGCAATAATGTAAAATTTAGTTTTTTACCATAAATGGATATCTACAAATTCACAATATTGAAATTTTGCAAAACTTTGTTTAGAATCGATATATGATATTTTATCCATTCATAGATTCGCCAGAATTTTTTTACTTAACTTCAGTAGGTATACCTCTAGAACTATTATATATTATATGACTAGGGCTAGGGCTTTAGCCCCCCCAGATCTGATGACATAACTTCGCCCATGCCAATGGATGTCCATTTTAGATCCATTTGAGGTCAGAACGTCCATATCTGTATTCGGTTATCCAGTGTACATCGGTTTATGATTATTAATTTGACAGCTGCATATTTATACCCAGAGGATGTCTGTTGGACATAATTTTAATTTTAGCAGTATTTTGACGTCCATCTTGGGTCATTTATTTAGTTTACCAGATAATACCCATCTAAATATACACTTTTTTTTTAAATGTAATTGGTCATTAAAAATTAACAAATTGAATCTGTTGCATTTCAATCTATCAGCGGAAGTTTAAAATCTTATTCTATTATAATCATATCTAGTAAAAAGTCCAAGTGACTCACTGGTCGAGTTCGTGTCTAGCGGTTGAAAGCGTAGAACGTTAACGGATGTGTCGTGAGTTCGATCACCGGTCAGGTCAAGGGATTAATAATATAAAAAAAAATAGAAATGGTGTGTAAGCGGGTTGCAAAAAATAATAAATTATTAATCTCTCTCTATCTACCTCCCCCCTTAGTCCTTACTTTACTGTATCCACCAGAAGCTAGCGTAGCTGCTTCATATTCAAGAGCAGTTGATAAGACATCGACCAATGTTTTGTGACGGGCTAAACGGAGTGTTCTTTGCATTTCATGGTCACGAAGTCCATCAACAAATGCTTGAACAACCAATCATTCAATCATGTATTTCGAAGCTGATGGGTAGCCAAATCGCATCATCTTCGCAATATCTAATTCGTATTTTTGAAGGCTCTCGTCACGTTTCTGTTTGCGATTCTTTAGTTGAAATCGGTATATACCTACTCCAATTGTTCGTGGCCATATCGCATGTTTAATCTATTTTTGAGTTGTTCATAATCTTCTGTCTTTCCCACAGGTATAGCCTGAAAAACATCTAAAGCGTCTCCTCGATGGGCGATGGTCAAATTTACTGCCTTCTCTCGTTCAGACCATTCGTTTGCTCTGGCAGCTGTTTCTAACACTGTTGTCGAAAGCTGGGGCTTTAACACGAGCATAGTTTACAATTTCTTCCAGTTTCAACTTTGACTCCACCTAATGACACTTTATTTCATCATCCTCGGCCTGTTCTGTATGTTCAATTTATTTTATCTTCTTCTCCATCTGTTTTAATTTCTTCTCAATGGAAGACATTATTTTCTCCTCGACGGAAGTCATCTTATTTTCCACATCAGCAGAAATATCATTTTTTATGGAAGAAATATCAGACGAGACATTTCAGAATATACCTTTTCTTCTAAGGAAGAAATTTTGCTATCTAAGGAAAAAATGTCTGAAGAAACTTAGTTTCTAAGGAAGAAACTTTATTATCTAATGAAGAAATATCAGGAGACACTTTATTTTCTAAAGAGGAAATATTGGTTTTTAAGAAAGAAATCTTACTTTCCATATCTGAAGAAATTACAGCAGACGCATCATCCGAAAATAGAAACGCTTCCGGATCCAAACCTTCGCTTTTTCTTTCTTTAAGCCGCTCATCCAGCTCTGCTTTCTTCCCTGTCGTCTACAGATCACGATCCTCTAATTCTCGACGCAACTCAGCCACTTTTAAATCACACAGTTTTTTAGCCATTTTTGTTTTTTCTTAATGTCTCGATTATAATTTTAAATAAAAATGCAGTGTAGTACACATCGTTGGTTTAATAATACAATGGGGCTACCTAATGATATAAATGGCCCATATATTATTTGAGACTATTCTCTCGTATCACCTTGGCTCCCATATGTATCACCAGTGTTGTAGCCACGGGGGGTTCGGGGTCAGAACGTTCCCCCACCCGGTATAGGTAGGTACTGATTGAGACTACCGACTACCGAATAATTAAAAACAATCGCACAAATAAAAAGCACACTAGAAGGGTGTTTGTAAATGAGTGCAAAAGATTTTAAGGGTGGTTGCCGAAGTTATTCTGTTAAATATCAAAGCGAGAAAAAGTCAGTGGCGTACCATTTTTTTTTAATAAAATACACGATTGCCACTGGTGCAAGTAGTAATATTCAGACCACCCAAAAAAAAATACAAATTTCGAGTCAAAATCTCTATAAAACTTTTTAAAATAATAAATAAAAAATTTAAATTTAAATACTCTGTATTTCGGAACCGAAGCATATTTCGACCTACATTTCCATCAACTTTTTTAACAAAATAACTTTGGTAACCAGCCCCCAAAATTTTTTTCTTACTTATTTACATGCACCCTGTATATTTAAACAGAACAGTCCCGATGGCCATAAAACCAAGAATAAAACGGCATCCTTTTGGACTGTAATAAATAAGCAATTTTACGAGTATATAAGTGAAAATAAATGCCAAGCAGTGGCGACTTGTGCATAAGTGCTGTAGAGCCACATAACTGACAAAAAAATGCAATTATCTCGTGTATGTTATAGACATTCTAAAATAATCGTAACATAAATTTTATCGATAATCTCATTAATTTTAATTTAATTTAAATTATTAAATAGAATTCATAGTGCGCGCACGTATCCCACTGTCAGTTCTTAGCTGATAATAATTCCAGAGTAGACCAGTACGGAAGACTTAACAAAAGCTCGCCAGCTCATATTAATCTCTTAGCTGGGTCACTTCGGGACGGTCGGTGCACCGCTTGGACCGCCCGCGCTCGTCGCCTCATCTCCCTCAGCTCTCTAAAAAGTAACACCGAAACACGATCTAATTTTCATGAACCTAGTGACAATTGACATTGCAGTGTGACGTGTGTCTAAAAGAAATACAGTGTTGCCATATCAATTATTACATAGCAATGGCCATTTTTACCTATGACTTGTGTTGTACCAGGCCAACCAATTGACTTCAGTATTAGAAAAATTATATAAAACTAACGATTTAAAAAATACCCAAATCAAGATCTTCTTCCTTGCCCTCATCGGCAGAGCACTCTTCGATAATATTGATATACAATAAGAAGACGAAGCAACGACTTCGCCACCAGAAAATTTGAACCCATACCTAACTACGCCGACAGGCATAAACTCCAACGGCCTGGACACAGCTCAAATTGAAAAAAAAAAAATTATTTGTTACAAATATTAGATAAGTACCGACATACCGTAATTAATAACCTAACCTAATCTACTCTAACCTAACCTAACCTAACCAAACGTAATCTAACCAACCCTCACTAGCATCTGGACAGTGAACCTCGATCCCAACTTTTAACAGACGTGTCTTTATCGTGGGCATCTAATAATAAGAAAATATACAATAAGACGAAGCAACGACTTCTTGTAGGATGGCGGCGAAGCCACCACCAGAAAATTTTAACCCATATCTGGCTACGCCGACCGGCATAGACTCCAACGACCTGGACACAGCTCAAATTGAAAAAAAAAGTATTTTTTACAAATATTAGATAAGTACCGACATGCCGACGCACAATTATCATGAAATGAAATAAAAAAACGGATGTCTGTGATTACTACAAATGTTTTAACTTCGGGATCCAAATTTAATTGCTGGCCAGACACATGTAATTTTTCAGCCAACTTTCATTAACCGAAATATTTCCTGACTTATATGTTTTTCACTCGATTTGGCAACACCGCATGTATAGAAACTAGAAACGTCAATTGTCATTGAAAATAATTTACTGTCTATCTGTTTTTCTAACAAACTAAAAATGAAAAATAAGAAAATTTGATCGTTTATGAAAAAATTTAGTATGGTTTCTACAACAACAAAAACAATGAAAATGGTTTTATGATGGAGATCCGACAACAAATTTTAAGGATTTTAAGGTAAAAAAATTTTTTTTTAGTGTCAGCGGACCCAAAATTGTTATGTATAGTGTGTTTCAAAGTGTCTAGAAACTTTCTATAATATTTCAATGGTTATATCCGCCGTTCGAGTGTCGGCGTATAAAATCAAAATTGATTTTGAGGATTTATTATTTTCATTTCCTGCGTCAGACACATATAAGATGGTATAAATTTTAAATATAGTAAAATTAGCAATTTTTTAAATATTTTTTACAATTAATTATAGATAAATGAACTGAATAAGAAGGATGTTTACATTTCCCCTTGTACCCGCTTCCTCATTTTCTCAACAGATGTTGCAAACACAACAATCGGTTTTTTTAGAACATTTTATAACTTCTTGATTTACGTTACATTAGTTTTTAAAAAATATAGTAAGAACCGTTTTCGAGATATCTTGAAATAAATGGATTGATTGTGTACATGACAGGCTTCAAGAATCTTAATTATGCATAATTTTATTGTTAATATCTCGTTTCACAGACGGTCAAAAAATTTAATTTTTCTTAGTTACGTTAAAGACACTTCCATTAACCGTATATTTCAATTTTATTGAATTAGGCAATTCAAATCACGTGACTTTAAATGGTGGACTCTTGGCAAAAACAACAGAAGTAAGTGCTTCCCTTGACAAAAACACCTCTAGTGATGTTATTAGTCTGTTTGTATTTTTTTTTTTGAGTTTTTAGAGTTTTTATTTGATGTGTTTTAATTTAAAAACGCCATAATTTAATATTTATTTTGAATACATGAATACATATTGTATGACTTTTAATAACAGTGAAATAGTAATGAAAAAGTCAGGTTAAGAGACTTTGTTGTTTTTGCCAAGCATGCCATTTTTGTACATTCTGACAGGATGTTGGATTGCCTAATTCTTAAGAAAAGCCGTTTTACGAATGAACTACCTTAAATATTATTTAAAAAATTGAAAATACAGTCTTAAAATCTAAATCATGAAGCTTATTTTTAATTATATTTAATATGAAACTCAATTTTTTAATAAAATGTAACTATTTATTGTAGGTTTTAATTTGCATTTAAATTTTTTAAAAATAGCCATCCGTCCAAATAAAACCATTTTAAATTAGGAATTCTTATTGTAGGTATTTAAAAATATATTATCTGAAAATTTCAATCGACGTTGCCCATTGTAAATTAGTCACAACACTTCATGCATTGTCAGAATTATTTCTTCTGTTCCCTGTAACTTTTGTACGGCAAAATTTTGCTACAGTATTTTGTATACCGGATGTTCAAATTAAAGTGTTACAGCTAGATACCGCCTATTATAAAAAAAAACGTTTCAGACGAAAGTAATATAGTTTTGTGGGGAAAAATTTTTGGCTAAAATTGTTTTTTATAGCTAACCATAATATGGCCAACTTTTTTTTCGTCCAGCAAAATTTTCAAGTAGCTGTTACTCAAAAAGTAAAAGTCGAATAAAAAAAATATTTCCATCAAAAGTTTTTTATTTTTTTATGTACTTTAAGAATATGTAAACAAAATGGGGCTCCCATTTAAAAAACAAAGTCCACCTCGATATGGCCATATTATGGTCAGCTATAAAAAAATAAATTTAGCCAAAATGTTTCCCCCAAAAAACTATAAAACTTCTGTCTGAAACTTTTTTTTCTAAAAAGCATATTTTCGGCGGTATTTAACTGTAACACTTTAATTTGAACACCCGGTATAATAAAGTTAATTGATCTCCGTATTTGTGTATAACTATTTTTGGTTGATAAATAAAATGCTTTAATTGGTCTTTATTTTATTTTATAAAGTACAAAATTATTAAACCTCTAAAATTGAGTAAATAATATACAAAAAGACAAACCTGCGCATGGTCTATGTAATATCACAATACTGTGAAATAGTATTCTTACATTGAAAGTTAAAAATATACGCTATAAAACAATATTTTTAAAATCATGTCCATCCGCTTTCATCTGCCATTTTATAGTAATTAACAATATATAACCCCTTCCTTACGGTACGGCACTGCCAAGTTTTCCGTTTGTGTACCTTTCCTCTCTCCCCGTCTAGATAATCATAAAACCTACTAATGCTGCGTTTGAGAATCCACATCGGATGCATCTGAGATGTAAAAAATCTTTGATCACGTGATGCAGTATACGTAAATGTAATGGGACAGACGTGTCCGATGTGGATAAAAAAACGCTCGAGATGTAAAAAATGCATCCGATGTGGATTCTCAAACGCAGCATATGTAGTAACTGCTTGGAGGAAATCCCCGATATCAAAATCGGATTCCTGTATAAAACTGAAATCTGAGAACTCATGTTTCGGAAATTCTTCGATAGATGGCAACATAGTGATTAAAATGTAAATAGATGGCGCTTCATGGATCTGTCATTCTTATTTATATTTGTTTTCCAAAAATGGCATCCTCCTGCTTCTGGTAAGTCGTTCTTGGAATGGCTCGTTGTTCTCTTGTATTAATCATTCGTTTTTAGTGAAATGTGTTTTATGTTGTGTTAACTATATTTAGTGTTAATTTTTGTGAACGTTCAATGGTACGGAAATTTAATATACACTTTGGAAATTTGTGGTACTAGTAATTCAAGTAGGTACTTCAAAATGTTTATTGTTTATTTATTATTGTTAGTATTATTCAATTATGGTTATCGGCTGGTATAGCCAACAAATTGAAGAAACTATTCATATGTTAAAAAATATTAAGTAGGGCATAACACCTACATTATATTATTTATCCTTCACCTCAAAGCAAGGTTCAAATTTAGATTTTATTCTTAAAACTAATTATTGACAGTTTATTTTGTTGTAAATATGTATTTTCATCAATTTTGAATCAGTTTGTCTTTTTATATCAATAATTTTTTGAATAGTTTTTAAAATAATGAGCTTTAAATCAACCATGTGCATGTGGGTGTTAAAATGACAGGGATTGGTAAAAAAAAGAGTCTTATGTGTTAACACTTTGGATTATTGAACACTGACGCAACAAAATTTCTTTTATTTTATATTAACTTTTATTAAGTGGGTATAAATAGTAAGCTCCCACTAATGTAAAGCTCACTTTCTGGTTCCTTTAGTTTTTATGTCTGTCAATGACTCAAGTTCTATAAATATTTTCATTACACAGAGGTATATAATATCTGCATCCTTTTTCCTAGTTTGATTTATGAATCTTAATGTGTTTTGCTGCAATTAATCCTCTATCTTAGGTAATTTCCTGTTTATTATGATATTTAGATACCTAAACAGTGGTGATAAACCAGTAACTAAATCAGATAAAGTTTATGGATTACATTACTGAAATTTCCACTTTAAGAAAAATGATACACTTTAAAAATATACCCTAATTGAGTAAAAAATTATACTACACTTAAGTAAATAGGTACTAGATACAAATATATATTTTAATCTACCAGAATGCTGTTGAAAATGACCAATCAGTTAGTACACTTTTATATTGCTCTTTATTAAATAATACCCACTCAAAACATGTTATGGAAATATGTGTGAGATCACCAAAGGTTGAATTTAGGTAAACTGATATACCTACCTATCTCGTGAAATTTCTAAAAAAATTAGTTTAGTATTAAGTAACTAAATACCAATATATTTAAAGAAAAAACTTCAACCGAAGATGCCATACTTACACTAACAGAAGAAATTCATGCGTCACTAGAAAAAGGTAAACTTTGTCTTTTTATTGACCTTAGCAAAGCGTTTGATACTGTTGATCATTGTCTACTACTAAGAACTTTATAAAGAAATGGAATAAAAGGAAATTGTTTAAACATTTTTGAAAATTACCTTAAAAAAAGAAAACAAGTGGGCAACAATCTCAGTGATCATCAATATATAAAATGTGGTGCGCCCCAAGGCACTGTTTTGGGCCCTGTCTTATTTAATTTATATGTTAATGATTTATTTAATCTCAAGATTGCTGGAGACATTATTGGATATGCCGATGATACCGCAATGTTTTATGAGGCAGAAACCTGGATTGAGCTGAAAACCAAAGTTCAGTTTGATTTTCATCTTATAAAGAACTGGTTCGATCAAAAGTTATTGACAGTAAACCTAGACAAAACAAATTTCTTACCATTTAGTTGCAACATTACCAGCTCTTCGCCTTTTGAAATCCTGGAAATTCAGTCATAGGAAGATGTGATAAAAATCCAATTTGTAACTGAGATGAAATACTAAGGGGTATATATAGATTCAAATTTAAAATGGAACTGTCACGTAAATTTTGTGATAAAAAAACTGCAAATGATTTTGTATAAATTTAGACAACTAAAAAAATATTTTACCAGAAACCTAATTAAAAAAAATATGTTTCGCCCTGATCGAAAGCCACATCAGGTATGCAATTCCTGTTTGGGGAGGGGCATCTAAATCCTTTAGAAACACTGCAAAAAAGATTTTTAAAGTTAATTACGGGAAAAAATTTTAGACAGTTTATATTCTGAAACTAAAGTACTTACTAGACCTAAAACAACTGTTTTATTTTCACACAAACATCAAATATCACTTTAGTACTAAGAAAGCCTTTAGTTATAAACACAGCTACAATACGCCTAATAATAAAAAAACTTACTAATCCAGTAATACTAAAAAAGTCAATTTCACAATGAGCTTACTCTTATATTGCTGTAAAATTCTATAATTCTATTCCTAAACCAATATAAAAAATAAACAATATATCCATGTTTAAAAAAAAACTAAAATTACTTACCTATTTTAGAAAGGCCAAGATTATTTACATTAGATATTTTAGAAGAAACTAAATAATATCAATACAATCATTAAATAATAATAGTAAAATAATAAACAAAATACAATAATTAAAAAAAAAAAACATTAAAATTATCAATACTTACTGGATTAACAAACTATTACATGGATTTGACACACTACTGAACTTGGCACATAACTGAGCACATAACCCTGACTTGACACATTACTATCTGAATTGGAAAAAC